TAACAATATCGTCGCAACTAATCTTATTAATTACACCTTCAAATTTAGGATAATATACTAGATAAAATCATACATTCAAAGTTAAATCCATAAAAACTTTACTCTGGAAACTTATTTAGTTTAATATCCTTCTTAAGTTGAACAAATTAGAACCAGAATTTAACAATATGCTTTTATGATTAATTTTTTTCAAGGATTGAAATATCACGGAATGCTATGGGATTCATTGAATGAATAAATATTTCTTATCGATGAAATTCTTAAGTTGAAGATGCTTTTGTACATAAAATCATTTTTATTTAAACTATAAAGATTAATAAAAATGATATATTTAATCGTATTCCAAAGATCTAATTTCTGTGGTTGCTGTATTTATTCGTATATTAAATAATTATAAAATACAACTAATATTAATTTGAGTTGCCAAAAATTCATTAATCAACATCTAATTAAATGGGCTTTACAAAAATATATCGAATCAAATAGATGAAATACAGAGGTGAATCATGTTTAAGATTATTTGGTGATGATTTTTTAAACTAAATAAATTAATCATAAATTCATTCAAAATTAAACTTAAAAAATAAATTTATTTATTAACTTCAATTAAATCTAAATCTTTTTCTGAAATATTTTTAAACAATAAAAAATTAATTCTAGTCATAGCTGTATTTTCTATACTAATTGCTAAGAGCATTTTTAGTTGTATTATCTAAACAAGTTGAATCGAAGAGCATATGGACACAATAGAAATAATTAATGAAACTGATGATATAAAATTTAATTCAAAATATTGTTAACCAATCTCTTTAATTCTGTTGATTGTAAAAAAAATTTTTCAACAGTATCAAAAAATTTCATTGAAAGCAAAAAGTTGAGTAAGGGTTATTAGATGTAAGATTTAAGTTATGAAGGGGAAAATTAGAATATTAATTGAAAAGATGTATCAACAACTATTATAATGAAATATTTATTATTCAGTCTAAAGTTATTGAATATTAACCTTTCAATTAATAAAAATATATCTTTTTATACAGTTTTTACATTACAATGATGTTATTAATTAGCTTTAAATAATTTTAAAGATAAATACTACTTTAAATTTTATTTATTAATTTTAAGTTGAGACTCTCATTTTGAAATTTTTGAAGGAATTTTTAATAAATTTATTATTTGACTTTTGTAAATTAACTTACTTATTTAGCTGATCATTTGGTTGGATTTGATATGGCATGTTATGAAAGTAAAAGCAAATACATAAGAAAAGCAAAAAGTGAATAAGTATAAAAAGAATGACAAATTTAGATACCCTGGTCTTGGGATGGAAAAGATTCAAAAGTATGGTAAGAAATGAAGAGATTATATTGTAAAATGTGATAATTAATCAATCTTGGTCGTGGGTGTGGCATATTGTGCTGGTTGTTTAAAATTGGATAATTGGATACAACTGTATTTGAAATAAGTTGATAAATATTTTGGAATGATAGAAAAGTGTTGTTTTACTTTAGTCATAGATTATTTCATACACCCATATATTTAGGGAAAAGTCATAAAGTACCTCATATTTATAACATTACAGGTAAATTAATAATAAATATTATGATTAATATCATGGTCAGCTGAATTTGCTCATCCTTTCGAATATATCTAAGGCAATTTAATTAAAGTAGTTGCTGGACCAATTTTATTATGATATCGAATACAAATGATATCACTAATCTTGTATTTGTTGGATTAGGTACTCATAAAACATTATTAGATCATTCTGGTTTAAAATTCCAATGGGATGTGTTTCAACATTTACCTTTAACAACTCATTCTGAATTCCACTCCAAACATCATAGTTTGAATACTGGAAATTATTCATCGACATCCACATATTTAGATGATCTCTTAGGAACAACTATTGATATAATATTTAATTATAAATTAATTAATAAAAGTCATTTAATACTAAATTATATTTCTTAATTAAATCTGATGTTTATCATTATAATATTTCACCATCTAATGAAATCAATTGGACTACCTTCTTTAACTTTCTCATTTTTTGTTCTTGCTGTATCTTAAAACCACTTTTAGATACTTTCAATAAGCCTACATATTTTTTATTAAGTGCTCGATAAACATGGTAGATAGAATTTTTTCACATGCCATGACTTTACTCTTGTAAATATATCAAAATAACTATAGAAGGCCTCTATCATCTAAATAATAGAGCACTTTAAATTGATTCTCATCCTTACCTTAATAATTTACTATCACTACTAAAACGCTTTCATTTTATCCTCCATCAAGTGTATCATATCTAATATAGAATTCATATAAGAATGACAAGATCACTCTTTACATTTTTGAAACTTCTTTTATAATTACTGTTCTCTAATCCAGTTTATTCGTCTAATCTTCATTATGTTTTCCGCATATTTTTTCCACCAAATTTTTTACGCACTGGAATAATTTTCAGCTTCCATTATAAGAAGTATCCTAATTCTCAGTATCCTTTCTCTCAACATGTGATTCACTATTCATTAATAGGTTTGATTCATGAAATGATGAGGTACTAGATAATTTTAATGAGAGATTTAGGGGTGAATTATAACAGCAAACCAATTTTATTAATGGTAGAAGCAATAAAATTTTAATTTGACTCTCTTGAAATTATAGACACCAATCAGTCTCAATGGCAAAAAACTTCAATAATAAATTAAAAAGTAATGAAAATACTGAAACTATTTGAAATTAATAAATTTAACATTATCTACAAATAAAATTATTATTATCTTATACTAAATATTTTAATGAGTTTGCAATCAAAGATAGATATCTTACTTAAAGTAAAAAGGTCTTATAATTTTAAAAGGGTGTTAAAGCAGCTATCAGGCTTGTTTTAAATGCATTAGATATCAATAAATCAAATTATATTAATAAATTTTGAAGAGGCACTCAAAATAATAACATTTCTTTTGCTACTTTTTTGCTGTCAAAAATATTTTAATATTTTAAAAGAGTAAAAATCTGGGTTGTTAAAAAGAATATTCTATCATAAATACCTTAAACTAATTGATGACAAATAAAAAAAGAAGAATACTTATGTATTTAGTAATGCACAGGTAATAACTTGATTGCAGAGTGCAAGAGGGGATTATTTATAAAGATGGAGATCTCCAATCAATGATATTTACAACCTTTAATCAATTTCAATTAGTAGGATGCATTCAATATAGCAATAACGATGGATCCTTCAAAGTTGGTAATGGATATTAGATGGAGTTATTGAGACTTTTCAAAGCTGTACCGGCATTGTGGAAATTTCTGACATACCAAATTGTTCAACTAAAAAAAATAAATCTCTTAAAATTTGATGCAATTTTGAATTGAAATTAGGATATATAAAGAAGATTTTACTGAGAGAATAAGCTGAAGCTGGAAAACGAAATTTACAAATAAAGTTTAAGAATTGCTCGGCAAAGTAATCAATATATTCTTAAATCAAAAAAGGATGTAACTCTATCAAAGAGCAGTACCTCAAATAAATTATAATTTAATTTGATTAATAACAATGTTTAATAATATGATATGAATTATGAAAATTAAACTTATTAATAAAAATCGTTCACTTATGAATATAACTAAAAAACTCAAGAATAAATCGAAAAGAATAGCACAATAATAAGTTATCTGACAGATACACTAAAAAGAAAATTGATGAAGTAGACTACAAGAATATCAAAAAAATAAAACAATCTTTTAGATTATTTGATTTGAATTATTTAAACAGAATATTTATTGGATTGATAAAAGGAAATGCTTCCAATATGGCAAGAGTAATTGAATTTTCAGTCTGCTAGTTTTTATATGATGAATTGACAAAATTAATTAATAGAGACAATGATAATGTATATATTTATATAATCCCATTCATTTTACCATAAAACAAATTATAACATGAAAAATTAAATAGAATATATATTTTTTTTTATTTTGAAATTTAAAATACGACTTATTGTAAATTTATTGTGTATTTCCATTAGGAAATGAGGGCTAACTATTTTGAAATACTAAAAAACTTCTTGATAGCATCAAAATTAATGTAAAAAATATTGAAATCTTGAATGATTAGAAACTAGGTTTTATGATTAATATGGATTAATCTAAGTAGATCTGGATATTTTAAAGTTTTCAATTTATTTAAATTTTTTTCATATCATCATTTTAGTTGTATAAGAAATCTCCTATATCTTTATTTTAACAATGTTTGATATTTATCTTTTGAACCTTTAAACAACTTTAGTGTCTATTCATATGAAGAACATTATACCTAAATAAATGAATGTCAATTAACAAAATAAAAGAAGAGAAGCTTGAAATGATATTTTTAATTCAGAACTGTTTTATTAGAAAATCAATAAAAATCAAGATTCCATTTGTGGAATAATTAAATTGCTAATTGATTGACTAAATAATTCTGGGAAACCTATTAAAATCTAATAATAATTTAATTAAATTTTAAATAAATGGACATGCCAGAGGAAATTAAGTAATTCAAAAGTAATTATTAAATTAATTAAATTAGTTACTTTAGTTGGAAATACTTAGGTTGGGAAAACTAATTTATTTTCAAGGTATCAATAATTTTAAATAAGCTAAGATTTGTTTAAGGAAAATTACCAAAGGTGATCTATCCAACTATAGGTGTCGAATATGCTTTAAAACAATATCAATTATCCCATAATTAGTAAATTAATCTATAATTATGGGATACAGCTGGACAAGAAAGATATAGATAGATCATCCTACAGTATTAATATAAAATATAAGACATCTAAAAAAAGCAAAAGGGGTCTATTTAGTTTATGATATCACGAAAAAAGCCACATTTGATTAATTGGAAGAATGGTTGGACAATATAAGATAATTAACAGATCCTGATGTTGCAATCATGATTGTTGGTAATAAGCTTGATAAAGTGGTTGATAATTATGAATTAAGAGAAGTTTAATTAGAATAAGCCAAAAATTTTGCTGATTTACATAATTTAACATTTATGGAAATCAGTGTTTATTCCGATGAGGATGTAGAAAAATGCTTGACAAAAATGGTAGAAGGTTATTGTAAATTAATATTTAGAAATTTGCAATACTAGTTAAATTTGTTAAAAATGATTTTGAAGGCTTAAAGTTTTAAATAATAATATTTATTAATCTTAATTATATTATCAAATTACTATATTACTTTATCGAATTTTTATACAAAAAATGATTATTCAAATAAACTTTGGTAGAAATTATGAAAAAATATGATTAAAGAATTGTGATATGTTATATCAAGAGGATACAGAAAGGAAGATTTAAACGAACAGTTTAGTGGTTTAAAGATTTAGAGGTGATGGAACAATATGCAAAAGAGGAATGGAATGAGGAAATGAATGAATATTCAGTAATCTGGAATAGATAGATTAAATAGAGCACCCTTTTGGGGGAAGATAAATGCACTGAATTTGAGACAGGAAAAGATGTTGAAGAAATTGGACTGGAAGATGAGAATTTATAACTACAGGGAAAAGGAGAATGCAAGAGATTGAACACGAATAGAGTGAGAATGATACCTAATTATGGTTATTTTAATCAATGGAGATCAAGAATGTAAGATGCAAGGAGCACAGTGAGGAGTGGTTTCATAGGGATCATGTAATGGAACGTCTAGCATCATGGGATCAAAATAAAGCCAAGTGAGTAATAATGTTGGAGAAAATGGATGGGAAGAAATGTGAAGCTAAAAAGAAGGAAAAAAGGAGGTATATAGCAAACAAGAGAAAGCAGGTGATAGAAAGGTTTGGAATATTTTATTTTTTTGGTAGAAAGAAGACAAAAAGAGTGTAAAACAATTTTGATTATTCATTAAACATTCTGAGCTTAAGCTAAAGATGAAGGATATATTGTTTATTTTAAAATGAGAAAGTAGAACATAAAAGGCTAATCCGTTGATTTAAGGATAATGAGTCGAAATTTTGAGAAATCATTATTTATTTCGGAACTAAATTCCTACTATTCAAAAGTTTTATAACTATTTTTAAGTTCAACATTGATTTTTTAGTTTATTTTGTAAATTTAGATGGATAAAATATTATTAGGAATTTTAGAATACCTTTGGAGGAATTTCAAAGCAATAAAAAATTAAACACTTAGGATTTGAAAGGAAGATTATAAGAATATATAACTAAAATATTATAATTATAAATAAAGATTGAGGTAAAATAAAAAAACTTTAAATGTTTAATCCTTGTAATTGACTTGAAAATTTTGAAGAATAGTTGTAAGATGAAGAAAGTGATGAAATAAATGAAAACTTCACCTCATTTCTAGATGGATTGTAAATTTTATACTCAGCATAAACCAAATCTGTTATCATAATTATCGAAATAAATGTCTTAAACTTTGAATTGGTGAAAATAGAATTATTTTCCTAAAAATATTGAATTAGGAGTTTGAAATAATTTCTTTCTGTTTGATTGATACTATACATAATATTATTAGTATTATTATAAAAACAAAATCGTAAGATAAAGAAAGTTTTATGACTGACTTAGATTCACACTCCATGTCTTGCTACAAGAGACTATTTTAACTAGAATATAAAGAGGAAATTTCATACATACCTGAATAACATAAGAAGCCTAAGACAAGAAATTAGCATGGAGGAATAATAGAACAAAGAGAAGTACAATGAAGACATAAACATAAAAGAGCCAATAGAAGTCAAATAGACAGATGACAAAAAAATTAAGAACAAAGAGAACAACAGATTTTAGTAGAGAAGTACAAGACTAGGAGAATTAAACTAAGGTGTATAGGGATACATGAAAGCCTGGGTTTAAAATTTGATTAAACAAAAAAGAGAGTACAGATAGTACCTAGTATTCAAAAATAGAGAATTATAAAAAAATATTTATTAGTATGTAATTTCTATTGTTTATTCAGAATTTTTGAGACAAAATTTGATATTTTGGTAATTAATGAATTATTCTTGTGGAGCAGATCAAGCAGGTTCCATAAATTTCTCAATTGCCAAACAAAAAATCAACACTACTTACAACCAAAATGATACACATAATAATTCTAGGTAACCATAGGACTGGATAGGCAAATATTTTTATCTTTTATGGGTCTTGATGCCCTAAATATTTGTAATCAGTAAGCCATATACTCTGAAGTTGTCGATGCTAACCTAGTTACTTTGCAAGTTTTGGTTGAAAGCGGGAATTAATAAATTTTTACCATCTTGAAAACAAGAAACTAAATCCAATTAATGCGCAAAATGAATTATCAGGATATGAGAATCTTTGTATTAATATCAATACTTAGTAAATCAATTAAGTTTTGAAGATTATTTAAGCCAGCCATTGTGGAAGCTCAAAAATGTGTCTAATGCAATACTTTATTGTAAGGATGCTGATA